GTCCTGCTTCTCTTTTTCCCAGGGCCATGACTCCAGCGAAGCTAGAAGCTGGAGCCAGGTTGTGGTAAGAGCTGCCCAAGGAGTCTGAGCCACTGGGGAGAGTGCTGGACCTTCCACCTGTCTTGGGTAGTGCCCTTCATCGTAGCCTCAGACTCTGGTCTGAGCTCTGGTTCCTCCAGAGAGAATTCCTCTGCCTGCCTGGTCCTGGTGGAATTCCTGCATTAGGGATCATCTTGTGCTTTACCGTTATCGACAGAGGGAGCACAGCCCAGGGAGCTCAGAGGAGCTGAAGATGAAGCCTTTGAGATCTCTTGAGCTAGAAGATGAAACCATGTGTGCCAGGCTGAAATGGGCCCTCACAGGCCCCGATACACCTCGCCAGTGGTATCAGCTTCGACCCTAGGGAGCAGGGACTCGACCCAGGCGCTGCCCTCTCAATATATCTTCATTTCCTTGGGGTTTGCGGCTCCTCACAGCGGCCAGGGCTCCCTGGGTGACTCCTACCATGGGCTGGATCCAGATTACAGCCTAGGTAGGAGAGAGAAGGGGCCTGAGGAGGAGCAGGGCCACAGTTCTAGCAGAGATGCCCCCCACTTCTGCAGAGGTTCCAAGGTCCCTGTGGGAGTCCCCCAATTTGGCCGGGGCCCATGCGTTGCTTGATGACTGCTGCCCTGGTTTCCCCCACTGCGCTGGCCCTCACAGCTGAACTGGTGCAGAGGGGGAGCTAGGCTGTGCCGGGGATACAGCTGGAGCCTCCTACTTCTTCCCTGAAGCAAAGAGGGAGGCAGAGACCACATTGCGACTCTCTGAGGAATCTGACTCAGGGATGTTTGTATCTCTCCTGGAAAGTGGAAAAACCCTTTCCCCACCCTGTGTACACAGGGGAGTTGACAGCTACACTGGGTCCCTGAGCAACGTGCGCGTGTGTGTGGGGAGGGAGGCGCAGCTATGCACTCCTAGAAGGGGCGTGGCCTCAGGCAGAAGGGGCAGGGCTGGGGCAGCGAGCGCATCCTGCCAGCCCTCCACCAGCCTTCCAGCCCACTAGGAAGAGGCACCCTACAGCAGTGGTTCCCGACCTTTCATTGCTGCCGGGTGCCCCAAGGGTCTTCCAGAAAGCCACTATCATGTATCTGTGATTGGCAGAGTGCTTCCCTGTAGGACAGTGGTCCCCAACCTTCCGTGGCTGCCAGGTGTCCAGGTGCGGGGCTGCTCACGTGCTGGGCATCCAGGGGCGGGGTTGCTCACGCGCCGCGCTTCTGGGGGTGAGGCCATGCATGTGCCGTGTGCCCAGGGCAGGGGCCACCCACATGCCCTGCACCTGGGGCCGGCACCGCACATGTGCCGCACGCTGGGGATAAGGGCTTCCCATGCGCCCTGTGCCTGGGGCCGGCATCGTGCATGTGCCATGCATCTGGAGCAGGGGCCGCCCACACACCCTGCACCTGGGGCTGGCACCATGCATGTGCCGCGTGCCGGGGGTGGGGCCAGCCCAGATGTTTTGGCGGGCTCACATAAATGCCCCGGCGGGCGCCATGGCACCTGCGGGCACCATGTTGGGGACCACTGCCCTACAGGGTGCTCCGGTGACGATTTACAGGGCTTGGAGTTTTACAATCGCTCAGCCCCGGGACAACTCCCCTCTTTGCTTCCCTTCCTTCCCTCCCCCCCATCGACAGGCCTGCGTGTACATATATTGCCGTTTGTTTGAACCGTTTCATCTTGTACATGGATATGCACCCCAGATACTAGTGGAGTCTGTAGCTGTGAGGGTGATGAGTGAGGATGATTTGCCTCCTTGTAGGACGTTCCAGCCGAAACTTTCAAAATCTTTTACAAACATGAGTGAAGACTTGCAAACGCCCCGAGAGCTAGGAATGGTTATCCTCATTCCACTGGTGGTGGGGCTCAAGCCCCCAGGGTATGTCTACACTACATGCCTCTGTCGGCAGAGGCATGTAGATTAGACAGATCAGCAAAGGTAAATGAAGCCGCGATTTAAATGATCGCGGCTTCATTTACATTTACATGGCTGTCGCGCTGCCGACAAAGAGCTGATCAGCTGTTTGTCGGCTCCCCGCCCGGTCGGGAGGTCGCCCCCGCCGCCA